AGCACTATGCAGGCAGAGAGGAGGTCGGGTCCGTCATCCTGCCTGTGTCATGATGGGTTCAGGGACCCCCAGGGGTGGCATCGCACACCCACCCGTGCCAGCAGCCAGCTCTGCGCCGGGACCCGGCCGGGTTTGCACTGGCAGCATCACCCCGACCACGCGGTCACCCCAGCATCTGAGTCCCGGGGAGGAGAACCCAGGGACTCTGTTTCCTACCAGCTTTAAGCAGTTTTGCAAGCAAACACAGACACATACGGTGGTTAACCTATCACTACAATAGTGATATCTCCTATAATATACCGTTAGAAATTACACACCAGGCTGGAGGCTGCTCTGGTGAACCTGACGCCACTTAGAGCACGTGCTCAACATCAGTCTGGTTTAATACGGAAACAATTTCAGGAGTACAGATTAATCACACCAGCATCCCCACGGAAGCTCAACGCTTCCCAAAAACAGCAGTGAAGTTGGGACACGGGAAAGCAGAGGAGCGGCTCTGGGGTGCATCTTTTGCCCAGGCAGCTCGCTCCAGCACAGGCACTCAGGAGGTCTCCAAATAAACCAATTGAGCAGCTGTAAACCCCCGGCTCCAGCGCTCAGACACTCCGCAACCCCCCCCCACGGTGCTCACCGACAGATGCCTCCACCGGGCAGACGCCGCTCAAAGTCTCCAGGAGTCGAGCGTGGCTGCAGGGAGAGCTCAGCTGCTCCTCGAGCCACCGGCGCACGGCACAGGGCCACGCCGTAACTGCTGCTGAGCCGGAGCACAGCCCCGGAGGGCTCCACAGAGAGAAATGCTGCCAGGGCTGGAGGATGCAGCCTCTGGGATGCTGCTGGGCATCCCGGAGAAGCTTAAACGAACAGCCCGGGGCCACCTTGCCCAGGGGAGAAGCAGCTCATATTGTTACCAATCTCACTTCTGGTTCAAGCACTGTGTTTCACATACTTAAAAACCCTCCTTGCAGGTTCAGAGGGTTGAAGGATACTCTTTGCTGACGTCTTGGGGTGGCGGTGCTCCAGACGGGTCCGTTCCCGTGGGAAAGGAAAACCCGGGTGGGGAAGTTAGTCTGCCTCGAAGCAGG